TCCCTATTGCTTTGCGGAATCAGATGTGCCCCCCCCCTCGGGATGCAATCTAACTTGTAAACACAACCCTACAGTATAAGCTCGGGAAAGGTCGGTGCCAATCTGTATGGAGAAAGAGATACGTTTTGGTATACTCCACAAGTGTATGAAGTATGTTGCACTGAGTACGAAGTACGAAGTTGACAAATGGTCGAAACGATTCGAGTAGGAGAAAAGTGTATGCCGATCACGCGGGAAGTTGTCTTGGATGTGGATCGGCGGATTGGTTTGGCAGCAAGTGGGGAGGGAAAGCGGGACAACTTTTGACGCGGAGATTTCGAATTGCATGAAGGCAAAAGTTTACCAGCACATTATACCCCTATGCAGAGTATCTTTTAGCACGCAGCACACTATAGGCATGTCTAGATTTGCGAAAGGACTTGCAGATTTAGCCCTGGAGTGGCGCCGTACCAATAAGCTGAACTGCACATTGCACCAAGTTCCATGTCAAACTGGCTGTCATTTTTGCGAGGGCTTCGTCATTGTGCATTTACCGGTGAGAGTTTGAAAGCTAATTGGAGGGCGCTGTAATGTAGGCTAAACAGTGAAGTAGAACATCGAATCGCACGAAAATAAATTAAAGTCTCCAAATTTTCGGAGCCATAGAAATGATCACGCCATGATATACGGACGGAGTGCTCGGTATAGAACCAGGAACTTGGCCATTTTTGTTGTAACCTTGGACAATGTCTCAGATGTTTTCCCTTATGGTGACAAGATATCAAAATGATCTAAAACGACACTGGTAGATTAGGTTGAGTGGACCATGGAAACAGCTCGGACTTCCCAAAATTCGGAGCTGTTCAGCGGGTTCTCTTTTGGGTTCGTGAAATTGTCCGATTCGGGCTTTTGATATTGTTAATGAATATATACGGAGTAAACAAAATGGGAAAAACAGACAAAATACGGAGTACAGAATATAGATTAACGAGGGCTCCGTACTGTACACGTTTTCAAAGCAGATGTTTTCATCACATGTGGATTCGAAGGAAAAAGCCGAGATAGCACACTTAGCTTAGTGCAGGCACGAATCTCGGTGGTGCCAGACCGATCGGATGCCAACCATTTAGCTCGCTAATTCCTTCGCCCACATTCTCTGCAGAAGGTTCACTGTTGCCTCAGCTTTTAGTTTGGGGACATGTGATAAGGTACCGGGTTACAAAGTACTGTACCTTCGAAGAAGTGTACAAAGCATGAGATATTTTCCCAATTCTTACCATGGGAATATTTTGGCTAAGAACGGAATGAGTGGTGGCTATGGAGATGTCTAAGAATATCCAGATGGAGCATTAAGGGAAGGCCTATGATTGGCACATAAATTTGGAGGTCGACCCCCTTTTATGAACGGCTTCGGGGGATGAATACAATGCACAAGTATTTGAAGTGCAATTACGGAGTACAGAGTCTTTAGTTAGTCTATCAGGATAATATTTATAGTACATAGTAAAAGTAGACATGAAGTGGTAAACATGAAGTAAACATGAGAGAATGGATTTGCAAGTCAATTATACATAGATTAATGTTGCACTCCTGTATCATGCAAAGAAACGCATAAGCATAATTATTTCAGAGATGACAGGGTTTTTCGGTTTTTTTTTGGGGCTATTTGATGACTATTTAACTATTTCATTCAGTTGACTATTTCACGATTTCATTCAATCCGATTCAATTTCAATTCCATTTGAGGTTCTGGAGTACTTCCCGGACCTAATCTACCCCGTGTCTACCGTCTACCGTCTACCCTCTGATCTCCCTCCCCCTCCTATTTTCCCTTCTCTCGTCTTTTTCCCTTCTCCTTCTCTTCCCACTGAAGCGAACAGGCACTGTTGTGTCATTTGGAAGGTTCTGGGGTTATTTCTTTACTCTCTTTTTTTTTCTTGTACATGGCTCTCCTATTCTAGAGACGTCTGATCATCCTGGGGATCTCTCCCTGTTTTTTTTTGGGCCCATCTTACCTCCTTTCATTTCTTCCAACTCGCCTGGTTTTCGAGTTTCATTCTTCTGGCATCGAGCGTCACTTTTTTTATATCGTTGTACCACTATAGTGTATGTCCACGTTACTTAGAACAGGTATGGTTACCCCCTGGCTGATGCAGTCCCTTATTTTCCCCCAACGTGCACAGCAAAAGAAAGAGAGAGAGAAAAAAAAGGCAAAGCACGCCCCCTTTCTTTCCAAACTCCACCTTTGACCGCATTAACGTGAGAGTCTTATTTCATTTGTGATGGATAGCTGATAGCTCCTTGGCCACAGCATCCCGTTTCGTTCCTCGGATCCCTATTTGACACGAACACTTCTCGGGCTCATATTCTATCCCCTTTTTTTTTATGCGAGTTGCCTTAGATCACAACCCTGGACAACTCGTGATTTCCGTTTCGACAATTTGCTGGAACAACATGGCTGCGTTGGTTCAAACAATTCCGCAACAGAGTGGCACGGTACCTGTGCTTCAGACACGTCCTTCATCCTCATCAGGCACGTTCTCTTCTCCAAATCAGAATCACGGCTCTCGTATCCAGACTATGTCTTGGACATCATTCAATGCTGGTAATTCCGGGAGTTATCGAGCGAGCCACCCGGTAGTGGCTCCTTTTGCCTACAATCCGAACATGGGCCAATCCCCCGTCCAAAATCGGCAGTCTTGGACACCACATCTCCGCCCAGAACATCGCACCTTTTCCGCACCTACCACACCTCAAGTGCCGGTAAATCCGACATACACCGGTGCCAGCCCCCGGCCCTCTCATCCTGCAGCTGGTTCTGTATTCAATTCCTCTAACCCTTCATCCCGTTCAAATGTTTCCAAGGACGACAGCGCACTTCCCTCACGACAACCCAGGAGTGACCAACCGATCCGTCCCCTGTCTACGGCCAACGTCCCCTCCCCACCCATCATGAATATTTCCTCCCCGAAACCCTCCCCGAATCGGTATCGTCGTACCCCACAACGAGCAGAAGCCGCACCACCATCCCCCGTGACTCCCTCTTCAATTCCGACCGTGATTGTCGATGATTTTGGGGGACCTCGACCAGCTCACCAGAACGCGCATAATCGGGTTGCAAGTGTGGATGATTCATCTCATGTCGATAGGGCCCAGCCTGAACGATATCGAAGACGAAGCTTGGGCAACATGGATGCTACAGCGTGCCCAAACGTATCGCTAGATTTCCCGACTTCATCTTCCGCTCAATCTCCATCGGGATCCTACGATTTCATCACATTTGATGCGAATCAGCGACCTGCTTCCGCTCACTCTCAGCGGGACAGCGTGGGTAGCGTTCACTCGACTCTTTCGTCGGCTTCCTCGGTAGGATCATTTACAAGGACTCATGGAAAATTAAAAACAACGCGGAGCTAACGGTGTCTATCTCACAGGCACGAGAAGGGACGCCATCGGACTCCAACTCCGTCACTAGCAAGACCGGCAAGGCAGACGAAAAACGTACGAGCAAGCCATCGCCATTATCGCATCCAGTATCGACAGGACCAGAAGCCCCCAAGCCCAACCCTCCAGCGGAAACCCAGAAGAAACCAACACCGCCTACATTGGATTCCCCCGCTGCAAAGCGTCTGAACGATTTGAAACATGACACAAAGCGCCCCGGGAAATCTCGCCTTAGACGAGCTTTCTCATTCGGCAGTGCCTCCGAGCTCCTGAAGACGTCTGCACAAAGCAACGCCACCAAGCGGGAAGCATTTGCCGTGGAACAGGCGCGTCGGGATGCACTGAGGGAACAACTGGGCCCAGAACAGGCGGCCATTGCCGAACAGCAGGAACTAAGCGGACTAGGTGAAAGCATATACTCTCATCAAGGTCACTTCTTCTCCGGGTCCACCGATAACCTGTCAGTATCATCGACCGCTTCATCGGCGTCGATGATGCTTCGCAAGATGGGCAAAGGTATGAAACGCTCCACTCGTTCCTTGGTTGGAATGTTCCGTCCCAAATCGGTGGCCAGCATCAATTCTATAGAGGGAACGGGCCACGAAGTATCGCCCCCACAAATCACCGTGGTGAACGTGGAGGCGGAACGAAAGAATGTTGCTGTCAACCCCGACCCTGCAGATTTGCCACGTGGGGCTACCGTCTTTCCCAAAGTTGAGAGCAATGCATCGGAGATGAGACGATCCGCTTCCATTCGCGAGAGAGCTGCAGCGGAGAACTCTCAGGCGCGTAAGACCCTCATGGGAGGAGAACGAGAACGGGCGGAGATCCTCGCGGCCGTCCGGAAGGGTATCTTGAAGAGTGCGTAGTTCTACACAAGCACACTTGACATTTTGGCATTCTGACTGACCTAATTAGAAACCCACTTGGAATCAGGCGTTTCCTCGCCTACACAGGGACTGGCCGGTGGTGACTCGCCACACTCCAGTGCTCCTCCGACACCCGACGAGTCGTCTCGTTCCCCAGCCCAACAAAACGATCCAGTGAAGATTGCTGGCGAGGATTACTTTCTCACAAACGCAGGGCGCTTCTCGTCTTCTGAAACGAAAAGTGCACCCATTACCCCTTCAGCTGTTGGTGGTAGAAACATCGTCTTCAGTCCTCGAATCCAATTCCATGAAACATGGCCTAGTGGCGAGTACGATCGACGTGGAGAGGTTGCGACTTGCAACCGTCTCACCCCGCTGCTTGCCCAGCAGATTCGGGAAGAGATAAACAACTTTAAGATGGCAAGTTGCTTGCATTGTTTTCATACCTGAATTGCGCCATTACTAACAATAGTTCAGGAGATGGAAGTCCATGAAAATTCCAAGATCTACACACACTTCATTTAAAGTTTTGGGCAGAAGTCTCTTGCATCGCTCCGTGGCCTAGAAATGGCCGTCTCTGACCAGGATTCTGTCCATTGAGCCTGCGCTCTTGTCTAGACATGCATCAATTCCGGCTGAATAGGGTGTTGGGTGATTTCTTCATCGTATGAACAGAAGCTGTGCGTACTGTCCGGATCTACATTGATTCCATGAATTGGTGTACGCTCCGTTCAGAGTGACTTGACCACTGCAACTGTGCTTCCGGTGGATATTTCGCCAATCTAAAAATGGTGCAGCTCTTCTCAAAAAATCTCGGTCTCTAGATAGGCGCTGCTAGCGCCAGTCCATCCTAACACCTAAGACCTTCCTCTCGTCCCTTCGAGGATCTTATGTTGGGCGTCGATCTAATGAATGTTCCTCCTACCATCTAATTGGTGTGGTGGCGCAAATTTCCTCACTTGCTCTCTGCCGTCATTTTCTTTTCTAAATTCTATTCTCTTTTTTTTTTCCTGCATCGTGTGCATCTGAGTCATTGTCATTGAGTATTACTGGGAGCGTGGGTTACTGGACTGTTTTGTTCTTTCGTTTTATTTCCTTTTTCTCCCGTTATTCTCCTGTCCTTCTAGCACATCATTCCTCATGGTCATCACTAGGCCCATTTCATACTTATCACTCACTAAGCTCTTCTGAATCCAATGTCTAAGCCTTGTTGCATTCTGTCTTGCCCGCTCATTTTTGGTATCTCTTTGGCTGCTGTTTTGGGTAATTATGTTTGATGGGCGGTTCTCGTCTGCACAGATCCAATTTTTCTCGTTCCTCATGACCATGCTTCCACTATGTTGTAATGTAAGGTTGTTCTTGGTATTTTAGAAAGTAGGGGCAGATCCACATCCTTCGTATTGGTTTGTCGCAATTAAGGGGTTTGCAGGCCATCAATGTGTTGGAGGTGTTTATTTTCTTGATCAGATCTCGCGTGATTTTGCTGTTCCCAAAGTTGTTGCCAGGAGGTAACCTAGGCGAAGCAACAACTAGTATAGCGTCAAAATATGAGGGGAATATCGAAGAGTCTACTAAAAATGTATCTGAACGTTGGTGACTTGCCATACAGACGAGTGAAACATTCAGCATCGGTCGTTGTTAGTGGGAACCCATACAGTGACTTAATTCTTCATTACATGAGCCTCATAAGTTTCAGAATTTTTTTCGATATTGTCAGGTTAGCAGATGAGCTATATGAGGTAGTTTCTACCAGTAAACCCTGCTGATAGTTAGTATAGTCAAAGTTTATGTATTTTTTTTAAAAAAAAAAGATCTTGCACACAGTGCACTTTCTTAATCGCCTTCACATTCATCTAGAAAGAGATTTAAATGGACCTAACAAGGTCGCATGAGCGACCGACTATGGTGGAACTAAATTCTTCAACATTCGAGTTTTGTACCTCTTAGGTTGTCAGGCCTCTTGGGATATTACATTCTCTAGGGCTGTTACAACCTAATTTTGAGATTCTCGTAACCCAAGCATTATCCAAAGCTCATAGAGAGCTAATGAAAATCTTTAGTAGCAAATCAGAAAGTAACGGCGAGTCCTAGGGAGGAACACAGAATCAATCGTGGGCAGATAGGGAATACCAAGAGCATCAAACAGTTGCTCAGTGATTGTGCCAGAACCGACATTAATTCCCTCTTCACACCTACCGTGCCGTGAGTAATAAAGCAGATGAGAGGAGATGTAAGAGTGATGTTGGAGGTGGGAAAAGAATCACTTGGTGGCGAAGGATCGAGATAAATTAGATAGATACTGGATCGAAAAGAAAAAAGATATTTGCGGATTGGCAATTCGACTAACTTGAGTTGGAAACTAAGAGATAGCCAGTGAACTAAGTAGAACTAGTATCTTGTTTAGAATTGAAAAATGGATATTCCTATGAAGAAGCCCTATCCCTAGGCCGCCTCAGTTATTCATTAAAAGGAATCGTTAGAATTGGAACTTTGTGTTAACCAGGCCGTTTCTGTCTGCATGTCTCACCCAGTATTTTTCTGTTATAGCTTCTTAACTGTAGTTCTGGTAGCAAGGGCAACATTGACACAATATTTGGTATTCTTTTGGCATCGCAACTGACGGTTTGGTGCACCGCCTGATGGGTCTGATTTTGTGAAGGCCGAAAAGTCTTCAAAATCGAGGCATTCTTGGTCTAGACCTCGATTTGTAGGTAGAGGGATATCGAAGTTAAGTCGCCGGCCTATCAAAAGTTTTACATTTTTTCATAGTTGTTGTCTGTTCGATATTCTACATCATTTCTACAGGCCGGGTGACTGTTCGGTCCGAAGAGGAACCCCCCCCCTCCCCCCCGCCGAAAGCAATAAACGGACCGGGAAACCGAGAATATTAAGACGAATCTTGGGGGTTTAAACCCTTGGTATTACACTGGAAATAGCACACTTCAATTAGAATGCGTGGGGTCGAATGCAGGACTGAACTAGGGTTGATTTTGGGGCCCCCACCTATTGAACAGATTGCTTTAAGATATTGTTCATCTAAAATAGACTTAGATGGGGGACTGACTTCTACAGTCCTCTAGATGTGTTTTCAGAAATGAATGCTGATGAGAAAGCCTTGATATCGATCATTGGAACATGTTGCCCACAAAGGCTATGGAATACAAGTGGATACCATCTTGTTTTTTTTAGCCCTAACTTGACTAGGAGAACCCGAGACACGTCCAACCTCAATGATGGGCTGCATCTATCCTTTTGTGTATCCCTCACTTTGAAATGCCGGGCAAGAAAACACTCACATTGGACTGAGACTCACTCCACGCCGTACAACCTTTAGTCCATAAATACGCTTAAACACGAGCAGCATACTCCACGAGGGGAGATTTTTTTTCTACGCCTAGCCACACCCCTTGTCAGCTCTCCCCGCCAAAATTCGGTAATGATGTGATCAGGATGACTCCTAGATCTGAGATTTCCTAGATAAGTTCAATTTCTCTGTGGGGGAAGATACTTGTTGTCCCATCCTTCAACATAGGCTTGACAGGTAAGACATTGATAGCCAGGCAGGTTTTCGATACGACTTGTGTCACACTCTCTGGAAAATCGATATTAACGCCAGATATTTCGCCCCTGCAGAAAGCAGAAGATTCCAAACTTGCAATTCTTCACTCGCCCCGACTTGCCGCGAGTCTTGCTTCCCACGTTTGCGCTTTTTCCCCTTTCTTCTTCTCCCTTCTTACATCCCTTGCTTTCGCTGGTATCTTCTTATTAATCTCGGCTTAGACTAACATATTAAACAAGCTGGTGTTGTCTTGTCACTTATTGGGGCCCTTCGTTCATCTTCCTACTGAATTATCTTTTCTCACACCATAAAAACAAACACCGATGTCTCTCGGAGACCCGGACTTCGAAGTAGAAGATATAGACAAATCTCGCTTCGACACTGTCGAAATTGTTGCTAATGCCGACAGGCCCAATCCTCGGAAAGAGGCCCCGGCCTACGTTGCCAACCTGAGCCCCGATGAACGCACACAAGCTGAGAAGGCCCTTGTCCGTAAGGTTGACATGCGCTTACTACCCATGATAATTATCATGTACATCTTTAACTACCTCGATCGGGGGAATCTCGCTTCAAGTCGACTAGCAGGCCTCGAAAAAGACCTAGGTCTTGTGGGCGACCAGTTCGCGACCTGCGTCAGCATACTGTTTGTTGGTTACCTGTTGATGCAGATCCCATCCAACCTGATGCTCAATAAATTCGGCAAGCCTGCTCTCTACCTGCCTATTGCTATGATTCTCTGGGGTACCATTTCCACAGCTACAGCCGCTGCTCAAAGCTACGCCGGTCTAGTGGTTATCCGCTTCTTCCTAGGTTTCGTCGAGGCCGCCTACTTCCCAGGCTGCTTGTACTTCCTGAGTGTTTGGTACACCCGCAAGGAACTAGGCTTCCGCACCGCAGCGTTGTATTCTGGATCCTTGCTCTCGGGTGCTTTCTCGGGTCTGATTGCAGCGGGAATCACTAGCAATATGGACAACGTACTAGGAATGCGTGCCTGGCGGTGGTTATTCATCATCGAAGGTGCCGCAACTATTGTAATTGCCTTTATCGCAATTTTCGTCCTCCCCAACTTCCCTCGCACAACCAGCTGGCTCTCAGAAGAGGAGAAGCAACTGGCCGTATGGCGTCTGGAAGAAGACATCGGCGAAGATGATTGGATGGACAGCGAGCAGCAGACCTTACTATACGGAGCCAAGCTTGCCTTTACCGATATCAAGACCTGGGTTTTGATGCTCATGATCTTTTGTATTGTTTCCTCCACCTCCGTCACCAACTTCTTCCCGACGGTCGTCAAAACACTCCAATACGGTGACATCGAGACTCTACTCCTGACAGCCCCGCCGTATTGCCTGGCTGTTATCTGTGCCTTTGGAAACGCATGGCATGCAGACCGTACCGGAGAGCGGTACTTCCATGTCACCGCACCGCTCTATATTTCCATCGTGGCATTCATCATTGCGGCTACTACCAAAGCTACTGCACCACGGTATGTAGCGATGATGCTCATGGTGCCATCTTTCTACTCCAGCTACGTTGTCGCCCTCGGCTGGATTTCAAATACCCTTCCTCGTCCAGCTGCGAAGCGTGCGGCTGCTCTGGCTGCTATTAATTGCGTTAGCAACGCCAGCAGTATCTATGCCAGCTACTTGTATCCTGATTCTCAGGCTCCAAGATTTAGTATGTGTGTCTCGACTAATTGTTGTCTTTCTGGGGATCCCAGCTAATACTCTTCTAGTTCCTGCCATGTCTGTCAACTGCGCAACGGCTTTCATCGCCATCATCTCTGCAACGATGCTCCGATTTATGCTCGTACATCTCAATAAGAAGCTCGACCGTGGTGAGGAGGTCGAGGGCGCTGTTCCTGGCGAAGGAAGTCGTCGTGGTTTCCGCTTTTTGGTTTAAGAGTCGATCCGTTTGATTTTGCCCCGGTCGGTTTTGTGTCGTGGGAGTGAGGGTTTTGGCTCACGATCACACTCGATATACGTTTTTGATGGCTATTCTTGCCATCTGAATACTATTCTTGTAAATTGACGTTGGGAAAATCACAGAATTAACAAGACATTCATGATATTTATGATATACACTATGTAACAAGCTGGAATGCTAGATGCTAAATGCGTCAATCTGAATAATTTCACTCCAGCCACCCTTTGTAAAGCTACTGAACTCAAGCATATTTCTTCCTCTCCTCAGTCCATCCAGGCCTCAAATACTTGGTATCAAACGAAGCCACATCCAAAGAACTGCCGGCAAGATAATTAATCCGCCAGTCAATTCCAATGCTAGCCCCTTCGTCACTTTGCGCCCAAACAGCCACACCGATCGTATTCTCTCCGGTGTAATCCAAAATTCCCACAGGAACAGGATAAACAACCTGATTTCCAATGTAGGGATGGTACCTTCCATACTGGTACCCATTGACAAACAACTGAGCCCGATACTTCGTTGTCGCACCAGCCGGCGTAGATAGAACAAACGAAATAGAGACATCAGTGTTCGCAGGGATATCAAGGGGAATGGTGGTACGGAAGAAGCGAACCGTCGCACCCTTGAAGCTGAGGACAGATGTTGTCAAGTCCTTAGTTTGGGATTTCTCCAGCCCCCAGGCTGAGTCGTCAAAGCCGGGTAGATGCCATCCAACACGCTCGGCAAATAGTCCGTCCTCGTTGTAGACACCGCGCACCGGGTCCAAGTCTAATTCTCCGCCTGCGGTTCCGGCTAGACGCCAGTGCGTGAAGCCCGAGTCTGAGCCGAGAAGTTTTGCGTCCATGATACCGCGCGGGTTGAGAGCGCCGGTGGTTTGATCATGGCCTGTGTCGTCGTGGACGATTAGAAGGACGTTTGGTGTGCTGGTGTGCACGGTTGCGTTTGTGAATGACAGGGTCAGATTTGCTTGGGATGTGGTTGCATCGCCGAGGTAGGAGGTGAGGAATTTGCCGTTTAGCCAGGCGGACCAACCGCTGTAAGTAGCAGGTTAATTTAATTTTGTTTCAATGTGGTGGTGGTCGTAGAACTTACAATGCAGATCCTCCTTGGACGTTGATGAAGGCTCCCGTCGCTGTTCCGTTGAAGTATCCGCGCCACAGACGGACGCCGTTGTGGAATCCGTATTGGTCGGCATAGAGAACAGGTAGGCTTGTCGGGGTGCGAGGGTTTAGCGTTGTCATATGGTTGGCATCTGCGAAGATCAGCTAAGGTTTGTCGATTGATTCTCATCCAGTAGGCAACTTACCAACCCACGCCACACCAGAATCATCATAATCTGTGAACCGCTCTGGCAGACTGTCTTTCGATTTCCATGAAGTGAAAGCTGGCAGCTTGATAGATTTCGGGGCATCGAGCGAGCCCTTGAGACTGCCATACTCGGTCGAGTTGGTAAGAACCTTCTTTCCATTCCAAGTCACAGAGTTTACACCCTTTGGTGCAAAGACATCCAGGGTTGTTGCGTTGACGACGTCGCCTGTTATCGCTAGCTCGGATCCGGTCAACTTAGCGCCGCGGACGAGATACGGACCCTGGACGAGAACTGCAGCGGCAATTAGAATTTTGAGCATATGAGAAACAATTAAGAGAACGCACCACTTTCTGTCTCCGGCACAAATGGATCATTTGTGAGTGCAGGAGCCCAGAAGTCATAGGCCGATGTTCTATCAAGCACGACCACTCTAACATCATCATCGAATTCCAGAACAGTTGTGCCCGTAGATTGCGTGAACGATGTCGTCAGACCGCCATGTTCCTTGATGAACTTCACCCGCGAACATCCCTGACATTTCTTGATAGAACCCTTCTTGGCGCCCTTGAGAGAGAACTCACCAGACTCGCCAGTTGGGACCCAGAGAACCAGGGTAGGCCGCTTATCGAAGACAGCATACGTCAGCACTTCGGCTGTGGAGTACAGCAGAGTCTTCGAACCGAATGTGAAGTCCGTGACGATGATCTTCGATTGATGCCCATTCAAGCGAATAGTGCTAGCATATTTAGGGACAGTCAGAGCACCCACCGAAGTATTGATTTTCAAGTGGAACGGCTCGTTCGTCGCGATGGAAGTGTTCGAGTGGAAGGTGGCATAGAACGCAGCATTTGTCTCCGGATTCCGGAGTTCATAAGCCCTCACAGCGGAGTTATCAGTGTACTGCGTTCCATTACCAATCCACTCCGTCAGGGTCAGATCCTTCGCAGAGCGAGTGAACAATGCCAGCAATTTAGTCTCATGGTATTTCGACCAGATAGATCGGTCCTCTGAGATCGGCGCCGAGTAATCGTAACTGGTAGCCGTCACTGGCGCAGCAAGGGCGCCGTGGTTTTGACCACCGAACATCATGTACAAGGACATTGCTGTCACACGCTGCCCGATGTTCCAGCGGTAGAACAAGTTTGCAAAGTCATCGCCGATATCGCCAGGGCAGCCACCCTCTGGTCCGCCCCAGGGATTGTATGAGCCACCTTGAAACTCGGGCATGAAACTAGGCATACTAGGCTGAGATTCTTGGAAGTAATCGTGGTATTCAAGGACCTGGAAGGGTACGTATGCACCATTGGTGGAGGTGCACTGGCTGATATCGCAGGTCCAACACTGATAAACACAAGGTAATTAGTTTTTGTTATTCTTCCTCTTCTTGTCTCATCTTCCCTCTTGTCGGAGAAATGGAAAGGCACATACCGAAGGATACGAGTCCAGACCAGGGACATCAACATTACCACCAGCATCAGACCAGTCATCCCCCCACGAGTGCGTGGCCATATTGGGATCATTCACAGTCAGCGGCAGCGTGATACCATTCTTACGAGCATTGGCCTTAAGCAGCTCCATGTAGGCAATGGCAGTCTCATTCGGCACACGCAGGGAAGGATCGCCCAGCCATTGATTGCCGTACTCATTTTCAATCTGATAAACAATGGAGTTGTGTCCATTAGTCACCTGGTGGCGACTGGTGATCTCCGTCACTTCGGTAAAGTACGGGGTCCAGGCATTTGTGTAGCGGGTATCATTATTGCGAAGGGTGCCGTACTCACCCGTAGTCAACCACAACGGGAAGCCACCAGCATTAGATTCCGCGTTGACGTACGGTCCAGGCCGAACAATAATGTACAACCCCAATTCCTTGGCGAGCTCGAAAATGGGGGTGATATCGCGGGGGCCGGTTGTGAAGTCCACCGTTGCGTTGTTCGGTGCGTGGTACGCCCAGCTGGAGTAGAAGGCGAAGGCTGTGAAACCAGCGGCTTTAATTTTCTCGAGGATATCACGCCATAGAGCTGGGACGGGAATGCGCCAGTAGTGGAATTCACCGGAGAAGATGAAGATGCGTTGACCGTTTACTTGGAAGCTGTAGTGGTCCCATTGCACGACGTTGTTTAGGCCGTTATCATGCAGTGGCCATTGCGTGACGGCCTGGTCATCTGCTATGGTTGAGGCTCCTAGACAAGCTAGGAGAACTAGCAGGAAATTGAAGATGCGCGTCATATCGGGTCGTGGACCGCTGTTTGACGACTGGCATTAGGGCATTACCGGGGTGGCCATGATGAATTTATAGTCTCAACCAGCCGCTGGGATTTCGAGTAAATGGGGCGTTTGTCAAGATCCAAGCAAGGCGGATGTTTATTTTCCCTTTCGCGCTAGAATTGTGGAATCTTCGGTGCTTGGCCGGTGGTTTTTCCTCCAACGGGATTGCTCCGGAAAATCATGCATACACTGGCGTAATCACATCTGCACTTTTAAAAATGCCGTCGTTTGATCAAACAATAAAACAGCAGTGATTAAAAATGTACCAAAAAAATTTCATATGCTCATATCACACAAAAGACAAAGACGCTGTAAAATCAAAACCACCGTTATTTCTCCAGTCCCCTCTACGAAACTCGAATTGTCGAGTCCCCGGGGAAAAATAATCCGGGGAGATGGCGTTTCCCCGAGCATACCCCGGCCCTAGGCTTGCGGGGAAGATAGCTGCACGTGAATACAAAGCAAAGCTTCGTAGACCACAGCCGACAAAATAAAATTTTTTTTTCCCCCAACTACAATTTTTATGCGGTATAGGAATATGCTAAAATTTAAAGGTGCCATTCAAGCATTGTTATCCAATACCCCGAATGGGTTCTCACCCTTTGTGCTCGGGCTGGAGGAAGATTGCTTTTCGACCTTTTGCTTCTTAGCGCCCCTCTTGGCGGGAACTTTTGCAAAGCCTTCTTCGGACTCCGACCGACTGACTGATGCCGAGGCAGTCTTTGTCTGGGAAGCAGCAGCCGAGCGGGTACGGACCGGCGAGTCAGGGATGACCTTCTCGACGACCTTCAGGACCTGAGCCTTGAGAACCTCATCATCGGTGGTAACGTCGCTGTTCTCGCCTTCAATGGCAGCCTTATGAATCTCGCGGCTCAGACTCTTCAGAGCATCCATACTGGCCTTCTCGGCGGCCTCCATGTGCTTAAGCTGCTTCACACCGGGGTCCTTGCGGTTCAGGTAGGAACGGACGAAGAAGCGCGCAAAGAGGTAGGTGAGGGGAAGAAGGTAGCAGACGTTCAACCAGATAGCAAAAGCCTGTCCGGCGGTGTCTGCACAGGTCACCATCTGCTGGGAGTAGCCGGATTGCTGGACAGGGGCAGCGTGGAAAGAAGTGCCCACATTCTCGGCAAGTCCTTCTGCGCCCGCAGCCCGGAATGCCAACTTCTTCAACCAGGAGATCGAACCAACCTCGGCGGTAGCAGAGGCGGCAGCGGAAGCGGCGTTCGTCAGCTGCTGCAGGGCAGCGCTACCGGATGGGTAGGGGATAGTGTAGTGGACGAATAGGTGGGCGGCGGCCAGATTGGTTCCAAAGACGAACTGGGTGATTTGCATGGTGGTCAAGCTGCGCTTGATGGCATTAGGGACGCGAATGCGGAGAGCCGTGATGGTGTAGTAGGTGTACTAAAGCGAAGAGAAAAGTTAAGAAGCTTTGTTTAACATATCAAAAGCAATGCAATTGTTCGGCTTACCATCATCGCGTGAATGGCTGAGTTAACCAGGCAAAAGATCCAAATCGGAGCTGCCATGTAGCGGATACCAGCCCACATACACATCATGGCTCCTGCATGGTGGTAGGTCTGTAGGGTAGAGCTCTTCTTGCCCTTGGCTAGAATGATCGCGGTATCGACAACTTCGTAGAACTTGGACAGGTAGAAGAACCAGCCGAAGTAAGCCAAGCCCTGGTTCCACAGACGGCCGGCATCCGTGGGATCTGGCATGCCGTTGGTGAGGTGGAAAGTGGGGTTGGGAATCGACCACTTGTCAGTGACAGGGCTATAGATGGCGGCATTACCGTAACCGCGGGGTCCATTGATCTTGCACAGCGAGTCCACAAATTCAACCAGTCCGTGAGGGCCGTCGCTATCCGGGAAAGAGCTTCTGAATGCCTGGAACATGCCCACGAAGGTCCATGCGGAGTACACAGCTAGGAAGACATTGTGGAGAACGACAAAAAGCTTGAACAAGCGGGTGTTGCTCAAGGCATATGGCTTATACCCACGACTCTTGTTGATGCGATTGATCAGGACCACAGTGAACGCATAGACACTGGCGATTGTGATTGGTAGCCGGACGTCGAGCACCTGGTTGTAAAGATCATTCGGGATGTTGAAGGGCTGCTTCCATGTTGGGGAATCGACATGAGGCGCGGGAATTGTCACCGGAAGCTCGTTAGAAGGGAAGGCAAGAAGCGATGCAGGAGGTAAGGCAATGCGAACAATCGCCTGGCCAAATTTGGTGGGCACGTTGAAATCGTGCATGGTGATCGCCACGCAGAAGCGTTCAATCCAACGCGTCAACTCAAGAGTGATAGAATAAAATATACGAGAAAAGATTGTGTGATATGAAAAAGAGACGAAAAAAAAAAAGGAAATCGTTGAAGTGTTGAAGCCCAGTGGGTCCCCGATGAACTGCGGTTTAAATTTCTCAACAAGGGTAATGGCCGACGATCTCGATCCCGCGTTTAGTTTGTTGGGAATTTCAAGACTTGGCCATCAAACGTGCCGAGGTTGGTATCGCCACTTCCCTTAAAAGGTAAACTGTTGACGCTGTGTACAGTTCGATGTACAGGATGTATTGGACTCCGTTTCTCAGTTTCATATTATAGTATTGATCTTCCACTGCGGCATTGGTGATGGGGGAATTGCACTGCTAATAATTAGGGTCTCCATTTTTTTTTTAAAAAAAAAACCAAAACCAGAAAGTCCGTACAAGTACGGAGTACTCTGATGTATAAAATCTCTGGACTTGTGCTATGCCCCGCTCGAAAATATTGCTGAGTCATCACATAGATCCGACCTCGGTTCCCTGCAAACTGAAAGCTTGGAAGCTCGGAACCTTCAAATGTGGTGACCTCAGACTATCATTCGGGATCAGCTGCTTGTTGGGGCATTTGTACCACCCGTCCCAACGGGGATTTTCAATCACATAGTAAACTGGATCACATGCAGTCTCGGTCTTTCTCTATGTTGAAATACGTAACCATGAGACTCACCCGTATTGAATTGACTTTGTCTGATGTACAACGTAAAGCCCTCCTAGTTTAAGATTGAAAAGAGAAACACTCATCGAGGCCAGGAAACACCGGGAATACACAAAGTACAAATATACACAGTTTAAAGTACAGGTCTTGAGTACAGTCCTTAGCGGGGCTTGGTGCTATGGGGAATGGGAGGAGGCCCCGGAGCTGATGGTGATAAAGCGTCAACAGGGGAGGCACGAAATTCGGCCCGCTTGGGCGGAGGTGCCGGAGAGGCCTTCTTGTGCTGGGCTTGAGTCTGGAGATCGGACTCCACGGGTGAAACCGCTGCAGAGTTCGACTGGGCCACGGAGAAGGGACGAGAAGGTGGGAGTGGGCGTGGAATCCGTTTGTTGGCTTCGGCGGAGAATTTGCGGTCCTCCACAAATGTGTTGAAGCGCGATGTGACTCCACTCCATTTCTCTTTACCCATGTCGATCTTGTCCGCATGGCGCTCGCGGAAACCTTGCACAGAGGATGTGCCCCGCGCGGGCTCCGCCGGTTCTGAGTTCACACTGGAAGTAGTGTTCGACGCGGGCCGGGCCGGTGGGCTAGGCGCTGCTGGAGAGGAACTAGTGAGCTGCAATGCATAGTCACTCAACTTCTGTTTGCCTGAATCGATCGAGTCCGCGTGGCGCTCACGGAAATCGCCAAACTTCTGTTTCCCTGAGTCGATGGTAGATGCATGGCGCTCGCGAATGTCACCATATTTCTGTTTTCCCGATTCGATGGAGTCGGCATGGCGCTCGTTGAAGTTGTGGATAGAAGAAATGCTGCTCGCAAACTGCGATTCAATGTTCATCGGTGCCTGAGCAGGCGGGGTGGATGTCGACGGAGATCTCGAGGTAGCAATTTGGGAGAAGCGTGACTGTAACTCATTCACAGGTGTATGTGCAGGTGACGAAGATCTCCCCCGACCAATCCCCAATCCAGGAACCGAGACGCCCGCGTTTGCTAGGCGCGATATAGCATCTTGATTGATATAATCGTGGGAGAGTACCGGTGCGGAAGAATAAACGGGGGGCGGGTCGGAGCTGGGGGATCCATTACGGGCGGGAAGTCGTGGCGGGGGTTTTGGCGGCTTTTCCTTTGAGATCGAGCTTGTTGAGGCGGAACTTGCCGAGTCCAGTCGCCGCACTGGTGGAGGAGGGATATTGTCTGTAGATAAGCCGCTTGTGTCGACGCGATACGGTACCTGAGGCGGGGCGGGCATTGGAAGCTGTTTCTCCTCTGCTTCGGTTGCTTGCTGTCGATGAATTTTCTGGGCGTTAATCTGATCCTGGGATAGCGAAGCTCCTAGGCCCCGTCGGTCGGGTGTTGTTTGATTTGGCACCGCAGCTGCTCCATGGTAATTGATATGTTTGGGAGGGGGTCCAAAGGAAGATGGGTCCTTGAGAGATGACAATGGCCGTGAGACATGGTCAGAGCGGTTGGAGTCGTCTTCCTTGCCCTTTTTCATCCACTCAGACTTTAAACAAGCACAAGTCAGCATCAACCGAGGTGCGAGTCTGAGAGGGGTGAGGGGGGGAGCTTACTACAGAACTTCTGATACCCCCTTTGGGTTCGGATGTCTGTTTTGAGCCTGTGCCCGAGGATTCACCTTCCTTACCCTTTCCCATCCACCCAGCCTAGCAGCGAGCACAAGTTAGCATCAAGGGCCGTTGGATATGCAAATTTGCAAGTCCCAGGGGCTTACCACTTGGTTGATGCCTTTAAAATCACCACGCCAGCTCTCTTTTCCACCTTCCTTGCCTTCAGGGTGCCAGCCACTCTTCATAGTATTGCGTAAACCACTCATTTTGCAGTAGACCTCGGGAGTGCCTAGGTGCGGGGATGACGGTTGCTAAGCGGTCAGGGAAGTGTGAGAATTCCCCACCTGGTCACGTGCGATCTTGATACAGTAATTGTAATTCCGTAACGTATTTCACCAATCACCGCGCTATCAATATAACCTAGGAAACTAGAGTTTATGATATATTTTACTAGAATACGCAATTTTCTATGGCGATACCATAGAAAATTGCATCTCACCGGTTCAGTCCATGAAGAGCAAGTTTTTGTGTCTGACGAGCGCGGTATACAAGGACGACTTGAAGGACGATCGGGAACAGTTCTAGGGGCTGTCTTTAGGGCTCAAAATCAGGATCTTAAGCTAGGGCCTCTAAAGGGTGCTCAGCCGCCTTATCAAGGATACCTTAAAGCCCCTGATTTTGTGCTTATGACCTCATCCAATGTTGCTAAGGTCCTAGGAGAAGCCAAGGTCCCCTGGATAGCAGAACACTGTCTCGACAACCTAGTTGATGAATTTGAGAATGGTGACACGGAACAAACGTTGAGGCACGCACTAGGTCAGCATTATAAGCTAATAGTAGGAAAAGACTCTTACTAACATATACCTATAGGCCAAATTGCGCGATACATGCTTGAGACACGCCTGAAGTATGGATTCTTAACCACGTACGAGCAAACAATCTTCCTACGAAAGGCAGATGCTGGTCGAGTATGGGGACTGGAGTATTCTCCAGTAATTTACCATCGCGACAGAGGAACCAAATCGGGTAGAACGGTGTCATTTTGTCAGAGTCTTTATCATATTGGATTGCTAGCCCTCGCAGACTCAGCTTTTAACACAGGCACAGGCATACGGAACCAGTTTTGGACGCGTAACGCCTAAAAGGGGACGATATAGTTCGCCGCGTCTATCAATTACATGATTGTATTGTTTTCTAGCATAGCCAAGCAAAGATCAACGTGAGACTGAACGGAACATCATACCTCTTCCTTGGCTACCATTTCCAGCGTGAGGTATCCTTATCCCAGTCTTTCCATCTGACTGGAGCGTCTGGTAAAGCAAGCTCAAAAGTCGCGATCCGTTGGGCAGGCTCAGCCGAACGTCTGGGTTCACCTACCATAGTCTTGCTTAATCGACCGATGAAGTAGCTATATTGAATCAGTAAGTAAGCTAAGATAACATGGTTCACATACAGTGTTTGAGTCTCCCGGTGCCAAACTAAACTTCTTGCCCTACCCCCGCTCGCGTACCACCCATGCCCCTTCAGCTTGCTAAATTAAAAATCAGATTCAGTGATAGAGAGAGAAGTGTTATCGAACTTACACAAGAGCGTTAAGAAAGGATACGCGGACTTGCTCTCTTTCATAGCTTTCAAGACCCCAAAATGGACCAGCACCATCACTGTCGCTAAGACGTAGCCCCGGAAGAATTTCCCAAACAAGCCATATGATGAACCCACCCGGAACTAGCGCTGAGCGATCTTGAGTGCCAGTCTTATGTCCGAGGAGCTTTGGTGTGACACTTGATCCTTTTTCAGTTAGATCCAGCAGGGAAGCTAATTCTTGCGGGATCCATGACGCGGCTTGTTCGCCTCTGGCGTCCGCATTATCCATTTCAGTTGTTCGATGGGGAACTTGAATGTAGACTCTCATAAAGGCTTTCGTTGGATATCGTTGAGGATCACAACATAGGAATTTAGCCGAGGCGAAAGAACGGAAGCCATATGCCTTATTTTGCTCCACGGTGGCCTAGAAATTAGGGTCGTTCAGATTCTCGAGGATCGTGTAATGGGACGAGAGGGGTCATACCTGATCGTCATACTCATTAAGCTTCTCAAGAATTTTCCACCGGGAAGAGAGGGGTTTATCAAGGGTGATAATAGTTCCACGGTCGGTGCCCTTGCGAAACCAGGGCAACGTGGATGTCATTCGAGCTGCGTTGGATGGGTGCTGTGGGTGTGGGTGTGGGAGAGAGTCGATTCGAAGGTGGATCGAAGCCAAAAGTAGTGGGTGAGGCTCTTATGTGGGTCAAATGTGGGCCAAGACGGTCGGGATCCGGAGGCGGTCAGTCAAACTGGTTTGACCGCCTCGCTCCCCGAGGAACCCCTTGAGAACGAGATACTATCAACTAATAGCAATTTCGTCTACAAAGCTCTCCACCATACAATTTTAGCCTACGTCGGCCTCAACCTCCGAAGCAGATTATATCTCGCCGAGCAAAGTGAATTCGTTGTTATATTACTAGTTTACCTTCTATTACCGACCTGATTAAACTGCGACATCGCCCGTCCATGGGCACTAGGAAGTGTCCACGGCCCGTGGGCTTTTTGAAATTTGACGCCCATCACCCACTTTTATGCAAAAACATTGCAAAAATTACCCTATTAGGCTATTTTTTATATATATAATCAATTCTTGGCAGTATCCACTTTGCCAAGAGTGCCCACATATATCTTGGCGACGCTAAAAGTGTCTCTACTTTAATGGGCGTTATCGCAGTCTAGTATGGTGGGTGGTTAAACTTAGTACCCGGTCCTCGCCAAGTAACCCCACCCCCTTCGGGTGTAGGGTTACCACACCGTAATGGAAACTCTTGCCTAATGTCAATTTTAAAGAACGCACCAAAAATTTTTGTATTTTTCTCAACACACAACGCCTATAAAAAATACTAAAAATTGTCAGGGTGCGGGCTGGCAGGACGGTATGATAGGAGATGACTGGTAGGAACAGGTCATAACAGATCAGATTCCCATTGACAGGTACAGGCAGGGGCAGGCTATTATACAAGATGTAGCTCGAAGAGCTACAACAGTGTCAGGGTGCGGGCTGGCAGGACGGTAT